CTGCTGCACCTGAATTGGAAGAAGGCGCCGAGAAACCCACTTCCCCGTCTGGAATCGAAGATGTCGAAAAAGCTACTGCTCCTCCTGAATTGGAAGAAGGCATCGAGAAATCTACATCCGCCCCTAGAATCGAAGATGTCGAAAAAGCTACTGCTGCTCCTGAATTGGAGGAAGGCGTCGAGAAACCCACCTCCGCCCCTGGAGTGGAAGGTACCGAAAAAGCTACTTCTGCCCCCGAATCGGAAGAAGCAATCGAGAAAGCCACATCTGCCCCTGAAATCGAAGGTGTCGAAAAAGCTACTTCTGCTCCTGAATTGGAAGAAGGCATCGAGAAAGCCACATCTGCCCCTGGAACTGAAGATATCGAAAAGGCTACTGGCGCTCCTGATTCGGAAGAGGGAGTCGAGAAAGTTCCCTCCGCCTCAAGACCCGAAGATATCGAAAAGGCTACTGCTGTTCCTAAAGTCGAGGAACCCGAAGGCGTTGAGAAAACCACATCCGCTCCTGGAATTGAAGGTGTTGAACTGGCTACAACTATCCCTGATGCAGGAGCAATCGAGAAAGCCACTGCTGTTCCTGAAGACGAAGAAAGTGAAAAGGCCACTATTGCCCCTGAAGTTGGAGATGTTGATAAAACCCCAGCAGCTCCAAGTGTCGATGAAATTGAAAAGGTTACTGTCGCCCCTGCTGCTGAGACAGAAGAAGTCGAAGGAATCGAAAGGACGACTGGAGTTCCGATTTTGGATGAGTTCGAAAGGGCTACTACTCCCTCTGTTTCCGAACATGTGGATGAATTCAAAAAGACCTCTGTTGCACCTGCTACTGAAGGTATTGAAAATGTTGTTACAACTTCTGCAGCTCCAACCGTCGATGAAGAATTCGAGAAGGCAACAGGCGTCACTCCCTTGGAGACTGGAATTGTTGTGGATAACGAGAAAGGTTCCCCTGTCGACGAAGATCGGGAGGGTGTTACTATTGTTCCTCGCCTGGACTTGGACCTTGAAGAGGCGACCGTTGCTTCTATCGCGCCAGAAGGTATGCAAGAGATTACAACGCAACATCCAGAAAGTAGTAAGACAAAAGCTTCCCCAGCTCCTGGTGTAATAGCTGATTTAGAATCAGAGGAGGAAGGCGAAGGCTCCGTAGAATCAGAGGAAGAAACTTCAACTAAACACACAGTACAGCACATTGCCGAATTTGTTACGGATCATGGCTTGCCAAGCACAACCGAAAGTGCAGTGAAACCATCGAAAACTGACGATTTCGAAGCTTCAGGAGAGGAAGGGGAAAGCATAGAAGATATTACAGTTAAACCTACCTCGGGACCACAATTAATTGGAGAAGACATGGTTTCAGTCACGGAACCAGCCGAGACTAACAAGGAGGCAGTCACGGAGAAACCTGAAGAAGAAGAACAAAAACAAAAAGGTGAAGACACCAGTGAAGCCAAACCTGAGGACAAAGAACAATCAACAACAATCAGATCTCATTTCGAACTCGGCGAAATTACAACGGCTAAGCCTGAAAGCGAAAAACAAAAGGAGGAAGATCAAATCACACCTTCCCCCGAAACTGAAGCTGAAGGAGAAAGACAACCAGCAACGCTTAAACCTGGACTTGAATCTGACGAGAAGATACAGCCTCCCACGGCTATTCCCGAACTTGAACCTGAAGAAGAGAAACAACAAGAAGCAGCTCAGCCTGAGTCTGAGTCCGAGGCAGGCGACGGAACACAACCCACGACACTGAATCCTGATGTCATAGCTGGAGAAGATTCACAAGCAGCAACAACAGCCACTCCTGAATCCGAATCGGAAGAAGACAAAGAATCCGAATTGCCAGAAAAGAAACCCTCCGCCACAGCTGCCCCTGAAATTACGACGGACGAAGAAAAACAAACAGTGACGGCGAAACCAGAATCAGAGGGTTCTGAAACTCAACCTCAGGAAGAAGAACAAACAGTGACCACGAAACCAGAAGCAGAAGAAGAGAAAGGACATACCACTGTAGCACCTGATGTTGAATCTGAAGAAGAGGAGCAACCAGAGACATCTAAACCTGAAGGTGAAGCGGATGAAGAGAAACAATCTGCCACAGCTGCCCCTGAATCTGAATCTGATGAGAAACCACAACTAGCAACAGGCAAACCGGGTGGAGAAGCGGAAGACGAGAAACAACCTGCTACAGCCACCGCTGGAGCTGAGTCCGAAGAGGAAAAACAACCAGCGACTGTCAAACCGGAAGGAGAAGCGGATGAAGAGAAACAACCTGCCACAACCGCCCCTGAAGCTGGCTCTGATGAGGAAAAACAACCAGCAACTGCCAAACCCGATGAAGAAGCAGAAGAAGAGAAACAACCTGTCACAAGCGCCCCTGGAGCTGAGTCCGAAGAGGACAAACAACCAGCAACTGTCAAACCGGAGGAAGAAGCGGAAGAAGAGAAGCAATCTACCACAAGCGCGCCTGAAGCTGGATCTGACGAGGAAAAACAACCAGCAACAATAAAACCCCAGGCCGAGGAAGAGAAAGAACATATCACAGTTGTCCCAGGAACTGAATTTGAGGAAGATCAACAAGCAGTGACGGCCAAGCCGGAGATTGAAACCAAAGATGGAGAAAAGGAGGCTGTCTCATCCACTCCAGTTTCTGAGGCCGAGGCCGACCTCCAACCAGCTACAGACAAGCCTACACTTGAAGCTGAAGAAGAGAAACTGGCTGCCACAGTTGCACCTACGGATGAAACTGAATTTAAGAAAGAACAAGGAGCAGTAACAGCAACTCCTGAAACTGAATCTGAAGTTGAAGAACCACTAGTTACAATCAAACCTGCATTCGAAACTGAAGAAGGCAAACGTCCAACAACCGAAAAACAAGAAGCCTCCGCAGAGGTCGCCATCAGTTCTACCGAGAAGACCTCAGCCGAGCAAACAGAAGTCAGCACAGAGGAAGAAAAGGAAAGCATCGCAACAACACTTCACCCACTATTCCCACACATTGGCACAACACTGCCAACACCAGCGATCGACAGCCGGATCGACATCGCTAATGCAACATCACAACCCGAACTTGCAACAGAAACAACAACGCCGACAAATCTCATCAGCAGCGATGTGCTCATTACCACACAGCCAACAATCACACACTATCCACCACCAGCACCTGTATACGGTCAGTATCCATCCTACAACGATGAATATCCCGACGAAGACGAGTCAGAAGTATTCGGTCCTGGCACTTGCCGTTATGGCGGCAAACTTTACGTCTCAGCGCAGCAAATACCACGAGACGATCCTTGCGATTTCTGCTTCTGCTTCAGAAGTGACATCATTTGCTTGCAACAATCTTGCCCGCCACCAATTTCCGGCTGTCACGAAGAACCTATCTCGGGCTTCTGCTGCCCACGATACGAGTGTCCCGTGTCGATGGCAACCGTACTGAATATCACCACCAGTACGACAACGACGAGCACAACACTGCCGCCACATTTCCTGCATCACTCATATGGCGGAGCGGTGCAACGAAATGGCTGCCTAATCAATGGCAGATCGTACAAGGTCGGCGAGAAGATCGAATCGACGAGCGGTCCATGCATCAATTGCACGTAAGTACTCAGCGAACAAAGGTGTAAAAATGTTTACTTGCAGTAAGATTTTTTGTTTGCCGAAAAGAGTTTCGCTTTAATGAAATTTTTCTCGTTTTTGCTTTTCAGTTGCGGTGGCGATGGAAAAATGAAATGTGATCCACAGGCGTGCGTGCCCGAACCGACGATGCAGCAAGTGATGGCTGTCGTTGCGACCGGCAGGAAAAGATGAAATAATCGCTAAGCATAAACGCTTACAAATACAACACAGCAGATACAATCACACCACTCACAATTGAAAACCAAGAAAGACTAGTGAACAAAAAGAATCTGCAATCCCGGTGCCAAAACCACAATGAAATATTACAAGTTACATATTGTAGAGGAGGAGAAAGTTGTAGAAGAAAGCGATAATTGCATGCAAAGTTTTTGAGGGGAAAATGAGTTAGGCACACATACATACATGCATACAGACATATCGGCGTGTGTGTTGTTGTTAGTGGGGCTCCTTTTTTTTCTTTGAATGCATACACCCTTATTAATTATACGATATGATGCCGATGATGATAATGATAATGATGACGTAGATGTAAACTAAACATATTTATATAAAAAAAAAAAAAAAATCAGCTAGCATACGAGCAAACAACCAGTGATATTGTGCTGTATACCTAGTATAGGTGCAATTAACAATTTTTGTAATTAAGGACGCACTTACTTAAGCGAACTTTTTCGTTTGTAATTTTGTAATTGTAAAAAAAAACAAAAAACGACAAAACAAAATAGGAAACAAAAAAACGAAAAACCTAATATAAATAATTTAGTATAAATATAAATTTTAGTAATGTTTGTAACGTCGTTCTTTGTGCATGAACGATTGCGAAGCGGGGCGGCTACGGAAAGCGTATATACATACATATATAGTGCATACATATATATATAGTATGTATATTAAAACACAATTCAAGAGACTCTCAAGCACAAAAAATTTATACATACATACATATGTACAGTATATTAAAATGGATTAAAGACACCACACCGCAAGCATCGTGCGACGCATACTGTGGCTGTTACAAAGAATAACGTTATGAACTAAAATAAAAGCTTTGCCATTAACTACATTTGTACTGCTATGCTATTAGCTACACTCTAGCGCCTAATTGTAGACTATAATTTTTTCACATTCTTATTTTGTAGATTTGCATATACTTTCGCAAAATTTGCAATGAACTTTTTAAGTTTTATTTTTTTTTTTTGATACATATTTATTTAAGTTGTAAGGTTGCTACTAGTCTTCTCTCCTTGTACAAGCAACAACGCAAATCGAAACGATAAAAAAATTTTAATTTTTTTTTTTACTAATTTTTCAACGCTTCAAGTGCTGTATATTCAAGTTCCCTTAGTATATTTTTTTAAACTAAAACTAAGCAATTTTTTCACAACAATTTAAAACGCAAGTCAGGATATGCTAGGTCTTAAGACAGACATATGCCCCTCAAGCTTAGATTTACCATGCACACTTATGCGCACAAATGTTTACAAACGCACAGAAAAGCTCTAAACTGCTTGCAAACAGGCAAAGAAAGCTGAACAACGAACGAGAATGCGTGGCCGAGCAAGATGAGCGTGGACGAGCAACGAGCTGCCGACGAAATGCTGACAAGAAACAAAAAAAAACGCATATAAGCAACTACTTAAAAAACTGTATTGTAAAAATATATAACATAAAATAGCACAAAAACATAGTTTAGTAAACAAACATACATACACTTACACACAGAAGAAACAATAAATAACACTAATGCTCGACTGATTGAAAATTTTTTAACCTTAACCATAAACACGTAGTCGATAATAGAAATCAATAAATAATATAATAAATAAATTTGTATGTAAGTTTATATGTACATACATGTACTAACTATGTAATTAAAAAGCGTACACAGTAGCAATGAACTTTTCTATACATTCAATGAAAAAAAAAAACTTTTTTAAATAAACTGAAAGTAATGCGCAAGTGTATGTAACATTATGTCGAAAGGCTGGCTTTAGTATAATGCGGCATTCGCAGCATACGATTGCGAATGACTCTCACTGGCGACGAGCAGTTGAAGAACTTTTGGCAAATAATAGTTCCGATACAAGCAAGCCAATATCCTCCTTTTTAAGTCTCATAAAAAATGCCTTGTCGTTTAAAGAATAAAGGGAATGCCGCATTATACTAAAGTCAGTATTTCGACATAAGCTACTAAATATTCCATGCGAACACAGATATAAAAGTAATACTTAATTATAAAGAAAAAAGTAGCAGAAATAGAGGTGAAGTATCAGTAACTTTTAATGCGATTTTCAGTCACTTGAGCTTTAGCAGCGAATTTCCTTGCGGCAACTTTCCAAACGCACAGAAATGTTCGCTTTTTTATTCTATTTAGTAGGTTAAAACGAAAAAAAAACACAAAATATATCAAAAATTGATATTATTATACATACAGACATGTAGAAATAACAAAAAAAAACTGAGAAAACGAAATAAATATAAACACAGCGAATAGTTCTTAAATATATAAAAACACAATTTAGTTTTATCTACAATTATGTAAACGCATAAAACGTACGTGCATAGCTTATTAACAATTACATAATAATAATAATAACAAATAAATGCACAACAACAATAGACCACTTATGATAAAAAAAAAACCCAAACTTAGATTTTATATATAACAGAAATAGTGTAACATTTTAAAGTACGTACATATATAAATCAACATGCGTATGTATGTATGCACATATGCATACTTATAAAAACTTGTATGTGAACAGCTCTTGGATTTCTCAAGCTAATACGTTCGTTTTTATATTTAAATATTTTTTAATCACTTTATTTGCCAATATGTATGTATATGTAGTATATTCTGTACACTTCATACTTGTCAGACAAGAATTGGGCTTAAATTAATATTGAACATAAACTAAAATAAACAAATATAAAATATAAACAATTATTTTCACGCGCGTTCACGCAATTGTAGATATTAAAATGCGTCATTAATTATTTCTGTTTTAGTTTTTTTTCTTTTAGTTTTTTTATAATAAATCAGTTCTAGCTGTAACTAAATACGATAAGTAAAGTATATTATAATAATTTTTTATATTTTGTTCCAAATAAAAGACGATAATAAATTATTGTATGAAATGTAAAAACTTTTGTTTTTCTTCAAACATAAAAAAGAAACAGGTATGCGAACCCAAAATTTGCAAAAACTCACAAGTTTCATAAACGGGAGATCTAATGGTTGTTTATATCGCAAAGCGCGAAACAGATTTTTTCAAATAATTTGGTAAGATAATGTGATAAATTAATATTTTCTTACAATTCTGACCAATCGTTTCCTTTTTTTTGATAAAGGAATGGTGTTAATATTTCTTGACCGGGCTTAATCCAGTCGAGTTAGGTAATTTTATCTTCACAAATGCTTACGGCAATTCATTCAGAGAAATACATCGATCACATTTTAGCGGCATGTATAAAACTTACAGGTTTCTTTGTAATTCCATTTTTAAATTTCATTGTAAGCATTCGGACCCATTTTAAAGTCCTTAAAGTTTCAGAATTCTGAATCGTAATCCTCGTTATGAGGTGAAAAAGTGTCTTAAAACAGCATATTTCCCTTCTTAGAAGGAGTCATATTGGACGCTTTTCTGAGTCTTAAATGCAAATGTACTTTATAATTCTGATTTTTAATAAACTTTTACTTCTACGTGAACTTTTTTACTTATATTCAAGTCACAATTTATTACACCAAAAAGAGTAAGAAATGAGTCAGTCTGTTTGACTGGCCTCAGAATTTTATTTATAAAACATTTACAAGTTTTCCTAATATCACATGATATTTTGTCTTAAATTTCAATAGAATTGTTGCTCATGTATACATGCATATTTATGAATATGGGTATATGCTACATAAATGCCCAAAGATGTCAGGTTCGTTTTATGAAAATTTTCTGGATATATAAAACAACTTCCTCTATATTGCTTGTGTAAACAAATGCAAAGCCAACCGTGCTAAGTAATGTTAAAATTACTTATTTTAATGAAGTTTTAAAACAAACTTAAGTAATTTGCAATGAAAAAAGTGTCCACTGGACTTTGCGGGAGCTCAAAATTTGTTGTGATTGAAACTAACTAACTTAACTATATACACTTATTTTGGTAAAATACAAGATTTCCATAGTTTTATTAGCTCTGTAATCTAATAAAACCGGAAGTGCTTCCGATGAAAAATGCCTTCAAGCTGGAAATCTACTACCGAGTTCCTATTTTAGCAATAATACGACAACACAAACAGCAAACAATTCCTTTTAGTACATTAGTATATTATGTAAATAAATGCCTCGTTAAAAACATTTGTGCTTGATTAAATCTGCAATCTTATAAAGTAATTTTGAGCGGAAATGTATAACTATTCATCGCTTTCTTGTACTCGAATCTAACAATCGGAATTTAATCGACCTACATCAACGGGCTGTGTTTAGTAAGCACACCGACTAAAGTGAGTTGGCACACGCAGTTTCGTTATGCGATAATTTATTCATTTATTTAGTTATTAATGCGAAATCGTTGAGCAGTATGCAAAGTTATTCAAATGAAAATTTATATAATGCTGAACAGAGTTTAAATAAAAATTTAATTTTAAAACTAATAACCTCTGAAACCAACCTAACAAATTTCTTGCAATCGATTTCTTTCTAAAAATTTCATCGATTAAATAAATGATCGAATATTAAAACAGCTGTGCACTGACATTTGCTTATTTTTCAATTAGCTATATTCCACTAGTTTGCTAATAATTTCTAGTAAATAATCCTTTAAATATGAGTAACAAATTAAATAACAAAGCGGGTGAGATTGTCGCTTATAGTGAAGCCGCCATACGCGGAAATATATCTGCCGTGGAGTACTGCCGCACTTCAATGGCTGCTTTGTCCGGCTGCGCTGCCGGTAGGTGTTCATACAATTTATTTGCTAAATTTGCACATATATATAGCGAATAAATTAATTCTAGGCATTCTGGGGCTCAACGGTTTGCTTGGTTTCCTCTTCTATTTTGTGTCCGTCTTCGTATTGTGGCTCTTGGTTTTGGCGAAATCAGGTACTCAGTGGCGCAAATTTTTCATCAATCGTCAGAGTCTTTTGACTAATAACTTTATGGGCGGCCTATGCACTTATGTGCTCTTCTGGACATTCTTGTACGGCATGGTGCACGTATATTAAACTAAAAATATCTTTACCCATTTTTTCTGTAAAAGCTTATAACATTTTTTATTGAACTAAGGAACTATAACATAGTACGTAAAATATTAAAATTAAGATACATAAAACCTAGACAAGAACTTTATTACTAATTCATAGCACAGTCGATTTAAAAGCAAATCAAGTTGACACAGCAGAAGCAACTGCAGCATTACCAGAGCAGTCGCACCAAGGGGTGTCTGCCAAGTCGCATTCGAGCAAAATGTTTAAAACTGTTATGGAAATTCCATCGATAGACATTTCCTGTATTTTTGATATTTTATATTTCAGCGTATTAAGACCAGTTTGTCGGTCACGTTTTCTAGTTATCTCCTTCTGGTTATAACATTTCTGGGTGTCACGCTTGCGGTGATAGCGATTGTGTATATGACTGCAAGGATACAAAAATATTAATAAATTATTGATCTTAAGGTTTTTACAAAACATACGTAAATGTGTCATTTACACCAGTTTTAATATTTTCCGGCCGTGTGACTCTTAAACCTGCATCTCTAATGCGAACGTAAAACTCGTCATCCTCTAAGCCCCATCCCCAGTACTTATTTGACATACCGTTGACTTGTTCGAAATGTTCACAACGCACAAGTAATATTCCACCGACAAACGTTTCATAGTGATACTTCGGGTGTAACTCAGGTGCAGCTATATGATGTGGACCCGCATCGCTGGGATATTTGTAAATCAATGCATCATTCATAGGCAATAAGTCTACATCATGCATGGCAATATAGTCGTAGACTTCACTCGTGAATCGGAAACCGACATTTATAAGGGAGGCACGATTAAAGCGGTATCGATCGATTTGATTAAGTAGAAAGATTTTGTGTTCAATGCCTTGTCGTTGAAGGAACTTTGTCATATGTGGCACGAATTGAAGTAACTCCTCGAAGCGATCTCGAAACGGCACTAGTACTGCTAATTTATGAATGGATTTCGGCGCAGATTCTTGAACACCAACAGGCACTTTATTGAGTTCCGAACTAGCCTTGGTACGTCCACGGCTCAGTGGACATATGCAATCTACAAAAAGAGCATGCTTGTGTAATTGCAAATTTAAATCAAATCCATGTATGTATGTATTTGGAATTACCTGAGCTCAGCGGCATAAAACTCAAAACCACTACTCCCCCCCATGCAGAACGCCAGCCCACACACAAACAACCAGTTGATGGTTCCCATTGGTATCATTGTTGCTATGTTCTTCACTCCTTTCGTAAACGCTTAATAAATGGCTTAACTTTAAAATATTGCATTCTCAGTGATGAAAAGTCGAAGATATTCAAAACTTTATTAATTGAACCAAAAAAATGTATAGCGCTCACTTATAGTAGCTATGGTTTAAAAATATATTTACATATTGAGGTTAAAATTAAACATTCGCCAGCTGATAATATGTTAGTGTTGCCAGAAAATTTCTTTCGTAAATTTGTTTTTTTTATGTTTGTGAGCCATGCTCGAGGTGCTATCCCATATTTCTCGGTCTAACTAGCAAAACTGTCAAAAAATAAAAATCCGCTCAAAGCGAGAGAGTTAAGCTGTCTTTACATGAGGCGATTAAACATTGCTCTGGAAAAATCGCTCGTTTAAATAGTAATTCAAAAATCGCTTCCTTTCAAAGTAGACAGCAAGTCAACTTTTGCATCCGATTATCGCCTGCCGAAAAATCTCCTCATGTAAAGGCAGCTCAACATTGAAGTGTATGGGACCGCTTTTTAGTAAAAAATGTTAACTTCTGTCAACTTCAACATAACCTCAAAATTTTAGTTGAAAATTTCTGCTTATTTTGTATGTAAACACACTCAGCTCACACATGTACATAACCAAAAATATTTTAAAATTCATAAGAATCCACTTAAACAAGTAATTAAATACTTTTCAACAGGAATTAGCGGAGTGTAATTTTCTTTTGTTTACAATTTGGTTGCCAAACACACTACAGCTGATCGTTTAACACATTTACCAGAATTTACCAGCAAAAAATTTTCCGACTTAATCTGGTAACTTCTGACAGAGAGAGGACCTTACTTACTCTCTTTTTTGTCCTCTCGATAGTCAGAGAACCGAGTACGGAATCGATTTCCAGTAAAATCTGACTATTTCCTACTAGTCCGGACTCCTACTGGATCGCATCTTAGATAGAACTTCTTCTCGTTGTTGTTGTTGTAGCTCCTACAACAACCCCGCCCTGATCTGGTTGTCGCTCAATCGTTGTCGTCAAGCTCTACTAGCGGTAACCCCAGTAAAATTGCAGCCTCTATGGGGTCTGTCCATAGGGACAGGGGCGTGATTATAGATGGGGTTCAGGGGGCATGCGAAGAGATGCTGTGAATCATGGGGCGTCTCTCCTCATGCCGGGCATTCATTTAGCACATCTCCATTTATTCTGCTCAGGTATGAGTTCAACTTGCTGTAGTAAACAGAGCGCAGTTGTTCTATTGCGGTCCGAGTCTCCCGAGGCAGACAAAGCTTTGCCTCGTCCACGTCTGGTGGTTGTGTGCCCAGAACGGCATTCACAGGTCGAGAGGCTATATAACTTGAGACTGCCTCTCTGTGAATGCCGTTCACGGCCTGTCGACAAGCCGCGGGTCCAGCGGTTGTTTGATGAACCTCTGGACTTCGTCCGTCAGTTCGTAGAGATGCCTCCTGACGTGCCTGGGCGAGGGATCTTCTGCAGGCAGTTGTCTATTGGGTAACCACGTCTGTGGCTCCTAACTACAAACTTTTTGCAGAGAATTGTGTTGTGCTCCTTAATGGGGACAATATGGGCCTCGTCCTGCAGGCGATGTTCTGGCGACATTAAAAGGCATCGCGGTCCTGAGTGCCGTGTTTTGGCAGATCTGCAGCTTCATTCACTGGATGCTACTACCGCCGACTACACAGGCGTTTCATAGTTCAGAACGGGCCGGCCAATTGCCTTGTACATAGCCATCCACGTTTCTATGGGCTGGTTTCTCCAACTCAACTTAACTTAGTTTAGCCATTTTTTGGACTTAAGTCAAAAGTTAGCCTAGGTTTTACACAGCTTATTCTTGACTTAGTCCCTGTTTTGTTTCTCTAGGTTTTCTCGATTTTCCTCTAAACATTGCCGACGAGTGTTGACCACTCAGATAATTTGCCGACTACCGTTTGAGTCTCTGTGGGAGAGATATCGCATATATGTCTTCTAGTAACTTGGAGTGACTGACGGTATCAAACGCATTTGACAGATCCAACGCCACTAAGATAGTTTTATCACAGGGGGGGTTGCAGTTTAGGCCACCTGTATTTGCTACCGGGAAAAGGAGTGTTATCGGGCGATAAGACTCTCCTTTGTTGGCTGGTTTCCCCGGTTTGAGCAGTGGGACCCTCCCCCCGTCTTCCAGATGTCTTGAACAACGGGAGTAGCCATTTACAGATTGAGCGGGGTTTGCGACCGTGCAGCGCAAGACGGTCCCTCGAAATTCCTCGTCCAACCTCGCTTGGTGCACAGACCAGCCAAGGCAGGTGTTGCACTTGACCGAAGTCACATTACGGAATATCCTGGACTGAAATACCGTGCAGATTGTTTGAGGAACCAGGAGTTGTTGGCGGCGGCGTGTGGGTGGTATTGCGGCTGTGTCTGTTATATGTCGTGATTGTGGTGTGATCTATTATGTTGTGGTGATGTGGTGTTTGTATTGAACTGCTCAGGCGGACTGGGGTTTGCCGTGGAGGCAGTTCTGTTTGAGCAGGAGGGAGCCACAAATGATGTGGTCCACTGCCGGTGAGTACGTAGGCCTGAGCAGACTCTGAGGTGACTCCACCCATTGCAATCGTTGCGCTTGACTGAGGTAGAGTTGTGGTGTAGTCGTCTCTGCATACACTGGAGGTGTAAGTTTCTGACCCAGGATTTGACTCGATGCCAGCCCTGAGCAGAAGAGTACGTAGCAGATGTAGCCCTATGGACGAACAACGTCTGAGATATTTCACCGACCTAAACAGGGTTAGATCGCCGAAACAACAGTCCTTGGTCGGGTAAAATCCGAGTCACTGCGGTACGTAGAACCGACTGTCGTGGGAATTCTCTTATCCTAGTCTTCCTCTTCGTAGTAGTCTTCCTATTCGTTTTCGTCTTCATATTAGTCTTCGTGTGTATGTTTGTCCATATATAGAATATTCTAGAAATGGGCGTGGCTACATTAAAACCTTTTGTAAAAATTTTACCATACAAATATTATATCTGGATAGGTATTCTATCGGTATCCGCAATAAAATTTTACTTTTTGCAAAAACCCGATGTTTAACACTTTACCAAATATATCTTAACATAAGTTTTCGAAAAAAAAATTACAAATAATTATTTATTCTCACAAAATAAGCCATCTCATCATAAAGAAATATATTTTAAAAATAGTTCTTGAAAAACGTTAATTTTTTTGAACCACGTTTTTTATAGAGAATTAAACAAGGATTACTATGGTATAATTTTAAATCCCTAATTTACTGGTCTTCACTATGCAAATTAAATTCAAAAAGTTTTAACTGTTAATAGCAAAGTTAGCTTTAGGACAATCTTGACCCTCTTATGTATAGAAAGGTTAAGCCCGTTTCTTAGCTTTAAAATTACGTTACGTCTACGATCATTAGAACCCGAGATATAACGAGCCAAAAGCACAATGGTTTTTTCAATCAAGGTATGTGTTGATTTTTTCATGGTCA